GGTTCTAAATGGATTTTTAAACAGAAAATGAAGACAGATGGGACAATTGACAAGTATAAGGCCAGACTAGTAATAAAAGGTTATAGACAACGAGAAGGCCTTGATTACTTTGACACGTATTCTCCTGTGACGAGAATAACATCTATAAGGATGATACTAGCGTTTGCTGCGCTGCGGAATCTTGAAGTTCATCAAATGGATGTAAAGACAGCCTTTCTAAATGGAGATCTGGGAGAAGAAATCTACATGGAACAACCTGAGGGTTGTGTAGCCCCAGGACAAGAGAAGAAAGTCTGTAAATTGGTGAAGTCGTTGTACGAATTAAAACAAGCACCAAAACAATGGCATAAGAAATTTGACGATGTTATGTTGTCAAATAGATTCAAAATCAACGAGTGTGACAAATGTGTTTATGTCAAGAATACAGACGATGGTTATGTCATGCTTTGTTTGTATGTAGATGACATAATAATTGTAGGTAGTAATGATCGGATGGTTAGATCTACTAAACACATGTTAAACTCAAGGTTTGACATGAAAGATATGGGACCGGCTGATGTGGTCTTGGGGCTCAAAATCAAAAGGGTGCCTGATGGTCTCATATTGACTCAGTCACATTACGTGGATAAGATACTTGACAAGTTTAACAAGGATGATTCTGGTATAGCCAGAACTCCTATTGATATAAGTCAACATCTGTCTAAAAATAGAGGGGAAAACATCTCCCAGGTGGAGTATGCTAGAATGATTAGCAGTCTTATGTACTTAATGAGCTGTACAATACCATATATTGCCTTCACTGTAAGTAGATTGAGCAGATTTATGAGTAACCCAAGAGATGACCACTGGAAAGCAATTGTGAGAGTACTGAGGTACTTAAGATATACTCGTGAATATGGATTACATTACACAAGAGAGCCTGGTGTTTTAGAAGGATACTCTGACGCGAGTTGGATATCTGATACATAGGACTCTAAGGCTACCAGTGGATATGTATTCACCTTGGGTGGTGCAGCTATTTCATGGAAATCCTCTAAGCAAACGGTAATAACTAGATCTATGATGGAAGCTGAGTTTGTTGCTTTAGATAAATGTGGCGAAGAAGCTGAATGGCTTAGACATTTCTTGGAGGACATTCCGGATTGGCCAAAGCCTGTACCTGTAATTTGCATACACAGTGATAGCCAATCAGCTATTGGTAGAGCACACAATACAATGTATAATGGTAGGTCTAGACATATACGTCATCGACATAATACCATTAGACAATTGATCTCGACAGGAGTCATAGTCGTTGACTATATAAGGTCGAAAGATAATATTACGGATCCGCTGACCAAAGGACTGAATCGAGATCAAGTTGAAAAAACATCTAGAGGAATAGGACTGAAGCCCATGGAAAAATAGGTTGAAGCAATGGAAACCCAACCTAGCTGACTGGAGATCCCAAGATCTAGGTTCAATGGGATAACTAAATTGTCTAGATCGGCTGAGTTCACTGTAGGGGTAATCCCAGCCTATTCCTATGATGACAACAGTGAAACCTGTATGAGAAAAAGGTTAAACATTGGTTTTTAATGATTCTTATGCACCGGATACGCCAGGAATCTGAGCGGAGTAATACGGGTTACTCTTCATTAAGAAATCACCTATGTGAGAGAGAAGTGGGGCCACTTTAAAGGAGAATTGTGAGGGCTCAATTCTTTAGAAACTCTTGCAGAACCAGGTAGATGTTCATGGCTGAAACGAACATAACCATGAGAACAGAACTGTGTCAGGAAGATGTCTGTGTGAAGTATAATAACGTTTACATGAAGGCAGAACAGTTCAAAGACATCGCGTCTACTGGTCAGCCAGTAAAGTTTTGTATTCTCACAAGGGAAGGTTCAAAGGGTAACGTCTACCTATCCTTTGCAGGCATCGACCGCAGAACTCTATCACCGTGTTGAGTTTGTGTTTTTCTTGCCGTGGGTCAATTTTTCATTCATGTGGGGGATTGTTGGAAAAATGGCTTGTTAAGCCATTTTAAAGGCCCATATTCGGATGGGGCCCAATAGGTTTTTAGGACGAGTCTCGATGGATTGCCGTTCTCCGTCGCGAGGAGATCAAAATTGAGTATTCATACACTCAAAATGGTTTTTGGGTGAATGAGAAATTGATGATCTAAGTATGTTACTTGAAATGGTAAATGTAGAAGAAAATTACAAAAGTCCCACATTGGCTAGGAGTGAAGCCAATGTGGTGTTTATAAGTGATTGCACTTTGAAGCCTAGGTAAGCATGTATACTAGAGAGGCTCTCTCACGCGCAGGGGGGATGCGAATCACGATCCCGGCGGGTTGGGGGCTAATGTGTGCGTCCGCACCCTGCGGACACGAATGCCGGACCGGAAAATCCGCTTCGTGCGAGCCTATTTTTGCAATTTTTCTTTTTATTTTTTACTTCTAGCCGTTTGGTCTTACCATAAAGCTGTGCTTAATGGCTGCTAAATGCCCATAATAGGGGCTTAATGGTGATCAATGGAGACAAACCGAATTAAGCTTTGATGGCTTCAGTTTTCATCATCAAAAAATTGAATTACTGCTAAATGCCCATAATGGGGGCTTAATGGTGATCAATGGAGACAAACCGAATTAAGCTTTGATGGCTTCAGTTTTCATCATCAAAAAATTGAATTAGTATGCAGTATGAGGCCAAATTCATCATGGGATGACATACCGGTTTTGCCTTTTAATATTGCATAGTAATGGCTGTTTTTAACACCATTAATCCGGGATTAAATCTGGGTTGTAACCCCTATATTTTGGACCCTATATAAGGGCATACTTCACATGAACATTGCTCACACCTCCATAGAGTATTCTCACTCTCTCTCGTCTCTTTTGTTTTTCCGAATTCCTTCGTGTAAGTTCTTGTTGTTCGGTTTTGGTGATAGAGGAAAGATCCGATTCTAGTTCACTGGACGGTTCCGAAAGTGCATCGAGCTTCCGTCGTTGTCGTTGTATCCTGGGAGACAGACGTCCAACGTAACCTCAAGCACACGCCGGAGGGGATGAATCTGTTTTAAGGAAAACGTGGTCCACGTGCCACGACATCCTTGCAACTTTCAATTCCGAGTTTGGTAGAAAGGTTGAATTTGCATTGTACAATTTCAATTTTTTCCATTTCCCTATAGTTTTGATCTTCTTTGTATTATCCTATTTCGGCTAACAAAAATAATTAGACTAGGTTCATTTTATCAATTTGAGTCTAAAATATAAGTTTTTTTTACAGTAAAAAGTTCTCAAAAATAATCACATTTAATTTTTTTACTACAGTAAAAAATTCTCCCATAAAGTCACATATCAACTCAAATCAGCGAATTAAAAGGTTAAAAAATTATTTTAACTAGTAATTTTTTAATGAGTCACTCTAACCATACTCTCTATTGCAATTAAATATATTATTTTAATATTTTTTGAGTTTAAAGTATAAATAACTTTTTTTTATTTTTACTTTATGCTAAAACAAAAATAAAATAATAAAAATAATAAATAGCTAATCACTTCTTGCTATCTATATTTAGTTAGTAAAAAATATTTTAACTAAAATAGTTAATGATTTAGTTAATGGTTAGAGTAAAAAAAATTAAAAAAAAACTAAGGTCCCGTTCATTTCACCGATTTGAGTTTAAAATTTGAGTTTTACTACAATAAAAAGCTCTCAGAAACAGTCATATCTATTTTTTTTTTGCTATAGTAAAAAAATCTCACATAAAATCACATCTCAACTTAAATTAAAAATTTAAATTAGTGAATTAAACGGACCTTAAATTATTAATTATTTTAATTAAAAATATGAAATAATTAGAATAGATGAAAACTAGAGTTACTCTTAGACGTTATAGCAAGACTTGACATAATATATATCAAGAGCATAATATGAATATCATATCAAATGCTTTTTCAATCAATTAATGCCTATCGTTGTCAGACCAAGATGGATGGGGGTAAAAAAAATTTCGTCGTTTCTGTTTTAAAAATCAAAGTGGAATTTGATTAAACTGAAAAAAAAAAAAAAAGGTAATATAAAAAATAGTTCCAAAAAGTTTAATCGAATAAATTCAATCTCCGACTAGCCAATATATTAATACGAGTTTTGCTCCAAATTGTAGAGAAGGATGAAAGGATTAGCTTAGAGGTGTCTAAAGGGATGTGTTGGGGCGGCACAATCCTTCTGACCCAAGCACAACCCTATACTATGGAGGGACGGGCATGAAGAGAGACTCTTAGGTCCAGCCTTAATCCTCAGTTCTGGCCCGGGTTTAGGTTCTTATGGGTCGGCCCTACTAATAGTTCTGTAATAGTTCTGTAGGACCTTTATAGGGCCGGTCCTTTAGGACTTTATTGAACCGGCTCTCCTAAAGACATTGTTCAACGATTCAATTTATAGTCGTTGAGTAGGCACCGGTCAACTGATGGCTTATAACTTCTCTGCTACCAGACGACCGGATTACACTAGATTCCTCTTAAAACTAAATTTTAACATAATTTTCTTAATGCACTTGAGTTTCACTTATGATTAATTTTTTTATAATTTTATATTTGATGACAAAAAAAAAGTAATATATCATATGCTCTAAAAAGCTGTGATTTTATTGAAATAATATGAATAATTATAAAAAAATGACTAGTTGATCGGATGACATAGGTCGATCGATTGGCACTAAAATGTCTCAAATCTCATTAAAATTTTATGTCGCGGGCCGTGCCTAACCTGCGGGCCTCATACATGATGTCCAATCCAAGTCCTTCTGACGTGCCAAGCCGGCCAGGCCCATAATAGTACAACGTCAAGACAGACAGAATTGACCATTATAGCGGGCCAAGTTGGGCCGCTGGGCTCAATTGACACCTCTATATTAGCTCAAAGAGGATTAGGTCTCATTTTCGTATTTCCTACACGCAATAGGCCATTCAAAACAAAATTAACTAGCAAAGCAGAGGCAACAAGAGGCCACGCTAATCAAGAACCACAACATTTTATAATAATAACAATGTGAAACAAGAGACTTCATGACAAATTACACGCTCGAGAAAAAGAAAATGTACAATTAAAAAGAAGAAAAAAAAAACGATCCCTTGTCAGTTACAGAATACGACAATTGAAGGATAAACAAAGAATCACATTTCTCCAACCAAACACCAACCATCATCCCCTTCCACTTGCTCCAACACAAAACCCACATCACAAAAACTCATTTCTTCATCATCATCACCATGGTCCACTTGATCATCATCACGATCAGCATTACTGATCTCAACCCCTGATTGAATAGGATTAAAACCCACCGTAGGATCCTTGACATAATCACCAACTTCCTCCTCTTCACCGTCAAGATCATGATCATGCAGGTGATAACTAGACATATGATCCACAATCCTAGTGGCGGAAACACCGGAGAAGTTCAAACCGGGTCGGGAGTCAACGACCCGCCAAGTCAGCAACTTGTAGTTGGAAACGACGTCGCGTGATTTCAGCTTCTGGTTTCCCTTGGTCTTGTCCTTGGCCTTGCATGTTGGGTGCAAGTGGCAGCCGTTGCACCTCGGCTGGCTACACTTTCCGGTGAACTTGGAGTGGTTGGTGGGCTTCGACGGGACCCGGGTGAACAGCCCGGCCGTGGCAGGCGAGTCGAACCGGTTGACGAATTGGGTTTCAGGTTTCGGGTTCAGCGGGGTCGGTAGGATCCGGTATGTCCGGACCATCCCGTGTTGGCGACCCTCCCTCTTCATTTCCGGCCAAATTGAGCTCTGAGCTTAAAAAATAATAATAATAATAATTGAGAGTGATTTTGGAATGGTGATGGTAGTGGTGTGTGTGTGTGTGTGTGTGTGTGTGTATATATATATATATATATAAAGCTATACTTTTGGAGAAAGGAAGCTCGGGAAGCAAGGTAGTTGATATTGATGATGTGCGTGTGGTCCAAGACAATAACTTTGACATTTGACAGATCATATTTAGATAAAGAAATGGATATTTATGTATATATGTATATATTATGTGACATGTGTGTGCAATGAGCATGTGTTTTGGGGATGATAACGTATTTTCACCGGCCTTCACATTTTTTAGCATGTGATTACATTAAAATATATATGTAATATAATATAATTGTTATGAAAATTAAGAAAATGTAAAATTAAGGGGAAAAATTTTAGAGAGAGTTTTATTAATTTTGTGAAAGTATATAAAATGAAGAGTTTTGGAGATCTATTTATAAGAAAATTTTCAACAGTATTCACGATTACTATTTATATAGTACTTACTATTTACAGTTACTATTTACACAATAAAATTCTGACATGAAAATTAATTTTGATTAACTTACATAATAATTTTGATTGAGGTGTACAGCTACTGTCCATAAAAGTAATCAACTTTTTTAACGGATTGGGAATTAATGGCCAATAGGCACTTTTTTTTTTTTTGCTTTTATCTTTAATTATTTGAGCATTATTATTATTGTTTCCTCAAAAGTTCTGGAATCGTGATTATTTGAGCATTATTTGGTTGGATACTGCATTATTTGAGCCTATATGAGTAAGTCACCCTTTGTTAATTCTAAGAGAAAGGAGAAAAATATCTTTAAAGTGCATTGCTTTGAATTTTTATTCTTTATTTTTTATTAATATTATTTTTAATTAAGTAATTATATTAGTTAAAAAAATATTAATCAAAAGTATCAGATAAAAATTTAATCTAGACTCGTGCATTTTAAGTAAGTTGGTCTTAGGTAGATAAATCATAAATATAACTTTTACCCTAGTGCAGAATTCACTTAACTATTAATAGAACCTCAAGATTAACTACTGTCTAATAAGGATATAAAATTTCTCAAGATTAATAGTTATTTACAAGTACACAGTGTTCAGACGTTTATAATATATATGACTTCTAATTGCTCCAAAAACAGATGCTTTTCTTTTTTCTTGTATGTAACGTGAAAAGAAAAATTAAGCAGATCTTAAGGAGCTAGTGGACCAATTTTCACATTACAAGTATGAAGAGAGTATATATACTTATATATGTCTATATATGTGTGTGTGTATAATATATCATGCGTTTTACGGCCAAGGGCTAAGCCTCAAACGTTTTGTGAATGATCTGGTTGATTAAAGGAATCAATAAGTGGATCTTTTTCCTCGTTGATCTTGCCAGGGACATTTTCTTTTCTAGCAGGATATAGCAAGAAATGTTGACACAGGAAGATAAGGTCATAGAATGTGGATACCTGCATATATGAGTATTTCATTCAGCGAAAAGAAAACTTTGTATCAGCAAAATTAGCTAAAAGTTTCATTGGACATCATATTAATAATAATGATGACAATTAAAATAAAAAAGAAAAAAAAGCTTATAGTTGTGGAGAAGATAATGGTCATTGATGTTGATGGATGATTTAGGAAAAAATATTACTCTTGGAGTTGGGAACGAAAATAAATTCTTTACTCTGCACTAATATTATACGACATGTTTACGCAAATGCATGTTACTTTTGCAAGGATTTTGATTGGTGACTCCGTTCATTTCGCTGATTCGAGTTTAGAATTCAAGTTTTGTTACGGTAAAAAGCTCTCTGAAACAGTCACATCTAACTTTTTTGCTATAGTAAAAAGCTCTCACACAACATCACATCTCAACTCGAATTAGCGAACCGAACGAACCCTAAAATAATTTACCAAAAATCGAACGTAAAGCACATACCAAAGACAGCAGTATCTTCCCAATATTTCCATAAAAGTTCACCCAAGAATCTGCAAAAGACCAAAAACGTCTTAGAATAAATAAGCTAGCCAAGATGATTACTACTATATTTTAGTTGAGAAAATTAAGATAGACAAACTTTGATCTATAGATTGTACAGCCATCTGCATAAAATTCGCGACGCTTCCCGTGAAGTTAAAACAAATAATGTAAATACTGAATCCATCAGTGCTCTTCCGCTTGAAGTTCATGAATGCCTACACTTCATAATTAAGTATTTCAAATACCATGCATGGACACTGATTTGGCTTGTAATAGAAGAACAAAGTTGTGTACCGCAGAGCAATCACATGCCTTCTAAAGGAAATTAAACCTCAAAAGATTATGAAACTCTCAAAATTAGGTTTAAAATTCCACCATTTAATCCATTTATGGTCATCAATGGGTGAAGAGGAAAACAAAAGAGGGAGACATTTCTGACCTGAGGAGTATATTTGATGGCTGCCATAACTACTTGGATTGAGCTGTAATATACAATGAATTGTAGTAACCAGGAAAGTAAAAATACAATCACAATCCAAAAAGTTATCCATTTTTTTAAAGCAATCTAAAAGCTACCAATTACCAACTTCGTTAATTTGTTTAAAACGTGCATTGGTTTTAGTAAAATGCGTAATGGCGCCTTTTATACCGATCGTTTTAAAGTTATTTTACCAAACATAAATGTGTAATTTAGAACTTTGTGCAAAAGTCAAACGCGCCTTCATTCTTGAAGTTCTGCTCTTTTAAGCCAAAAGGATTTAGATAAAGAAAGAAACTTACTTGAAAATATTGATCAGCCAAAGCCAAGAATGGGTTGGCAAGGCAATGAAGAAACAAACTCCAGCAGTAAACCACACTACGGAGACAATTCCAATACTAACCTTAGAGAATGTCTGACTTCCCCGCTACAATATTAAAGTCATCATTCAACACAACACAAAAAGCCATATTCAAAATTAGTTTTGCAATATAATAATTACGAAAAAACAATAATTTAATTACCTCATAAATTGCAATTTGGAGTAAGTGAATTAATGCTAATAGAACAGCGTGAGTTGAGAAAGCAACATCATTTGCTGCTACGGGTATCATCTGCAACAAATATCACAGACGTATAGCAACTGAAAATTGTGTTAAAAGCAAGTATTTAAATGAACACAAACCTCTTTGGAGCCGTACTTCTCACTGACATATTGCAACTGAAAATTGTGTTAAAAGCAAGTATTTAAATGAACACAAACCTCTTTGGAGCCGTACTTCTCAAAGTACTGTTTTTGGACATCGGAGCTAAAGTAGAGAGTGGCGTTGTAGATGAGGTAAGAAGTGTGCTTGGTCAAATTTAGTAACACGAAATCAAAGTTGAACCCAACAACACTAGACAAAAACAAAAACCATGAACAAAAAAATATATGGATGTGGATATATAATTCACGCAAATTAAGAAGAAGAACAATTCATGGGAAATATAAGTGTTTACCTTTTTCTGCGGAAGTTCAATATGACTTGTGGCCAGGGAGCGAAGGTCCAAGCAATAAAAGCAGTCCAACCCAGAACTTGATATGCGATTTCCAGCGGAATCGAATTCCATGATGCCATTCCTCCTTCTCTAGCAGAATCGAGCCTTTTCTTTTTCTTTTTCAATTATGTTGTTAAGCTTGAATCATTGTCTGGTGTCAGTTTTTTTTTTCAATGGGAAATTATATTCTAAGGTGCAGTTTAAAGTTGAAAAAAGAGCACTTCTATTTGGCTACGCCGCGGAGTATTTTGACATTAACCATGTTGAACACTGTTGTTTTTACTATTCTTTTTTAAGAAAATTAAACGTGCATCTAGAAGGGAGATTTGTGTCATAATTCATGTTTTTAAAAAAATACATATAAAATGAAAATAATTCTAAATTATAATTCTAAATTTATAAACCAAATGACATTTTGAAGGGCTTGTTAACTGAATATGAGCAGTGAACACTAGTCCCATTTGAAGGGCTTGTTAACTGAAGATGAGCACTGAACACTAGTTCCAGGTTTGACGAGTAGAAAAGAACAGAGGGAAACGCTTTTAATCATCGTTCACAGAAGGGAAGTTTTGTCTTTTTAGAAAACTAACTCCGTAGAAAATCCATGATGTTTGGTAAACCATTTAGTCGCTATTAATTTCTCCTAAAATTCTAGCTATATACATCTTTGGGGCAGATTTTTTTTAAGACGTCATAATTGGTTGCTTCTAATTCTGAAACATATTTAACTCGTGTTGTCCTCTTTTCCTTTCCCCTATTTAAATTTAAATAATCGATTGAATGACTATTAAAGCATTTTAATATTATCTGTACGTACTATTTAAATCTTTTACAAAAATTAAAAGATATTAGACTTAATTTAATTTAACAAAATCGGTTTATTAGGAGAAAATTATCCTCATTTTATTAAGTGAATCATGCCAATATCTCCAGTTAATGTGAAATTTTAATACGCCTCCTCACACACAGTGTAAATCATGTCAAACCGCTGTGAATAAGTCGATATTGGGGGACCCAACATTACAAAATTGAGCATGCTCTAATATCATTTTACAAAAATTAAAGGATATTGGGCCTAACTCAACCTAACAAAACCTGCTTATTATGGGAGAATTGCCCTCACATTATTAAATTAATCATGTCAATATCTCCAATTAATGTGAGATTCTAATAAAGAGCTACATGATTAATATTGATTGAAGTATTAGCTCAATGACTTTTTGTCCTCTTTTCCTTTCTCCTATTTAAATAATCGATTGAATGACTATAAAAGCATTTTAATATTATCTGTACGTACTATTTAAATCTTTTATGAAAATTAAAAGATATTAGACCTAATTCAACTTAACAAAATCAGTTTGTTAGGAGAAAATTGTCATCATTTTATTAAGTGAATCATGCCAATATCTTCAGTTAATGTGAAATTTTAATACGCCTCCTCACACACAGCGTGAATCATGTCAAACCGCTGTGAATAAGTCGATATTGAGAAACCCAATATTACAAAATTGAGCCTGCTCTGATACCATTTTACAAAAATTAAAGGATATTGGGCCTAACTCAACATAACAAAACCTGCTTATTATGAGAGGATTGCCATCACCTTATTAAGTTGATCATGTCAATATCTCTAACTAATGTGAGATTCTAATAAAGAGCTACATGATTAATATTGATTGAAGTATTAGCTCAATGACTTTTTATCCTCTTTTCCTTTCTCCTATTTAAATAATCGATTGAATGACTATTAAAGCATTTTAATATTATCTGTACGTACTATTTAAATCTTTTACGAAAATTAAAAGATATTAGACCTAACTTAACTTAACAAAATTGGTTTGTTATGAGAAAATTGTCCTCATTTTATTAAGTGAATCATGTCAATATCTCCAGTTAATGTGAAATTTTAATACGCCTCCTCACACACGGCGTGAATCATGTCAAACCGCTGTGAATAAGTCGATATTGGGAGACCCAACATTACAAAATTGAGTCTGCTCTGATACTATTTTACAAAAATTAAAGGATATTGGGCCTAACTCAACATAACATAACCTGCTTATTATGGAAGGATTGCCCTCACCTTATTAAGTTGATCATGTCAATATCTCCAACTAATGTGAGATTCTAATAAAATCAACTACAAAAGCATATGCTCCGCTGACAAATCGAGAATCATCAACCTTCATTAAGAACAGAGACTTCACAACAAACTACGAACTCAATAAAATTAAACTGTATAATTAAACAAAATATATGATTCATTCACATAGAATAGAATCTAACAATTAGGGGATTAGCAAAGAATCACATTTCTCCCACTAAGCACCAATCATCTCCTTCCACTAGGTCCACCACAAATCCCACGTCACAAAAGCTCATTCCTTCCTCATCACCATTTTGATTCTGATCATCACCATTTTGATTCTGATCATCACTAGAATTACCAATGATCTCGACCGTTGTTTGGACAGACTGAGAATCCAGAGCAAGATTGTCATCACTAGCACCGTATGGACCATCATAATTATCATACAGATGAGGACCATCATAATTATCATACACATCACAATCACTAACTTCATAATCATCATGATCATCATCATTGGCAAGATAATTAGACAGTTGATCTAAAACCCTCGTGGCAGAAACCCCGTGGAAAGCGAGCAACTTGTGATTAGAAACGACGTCGCTTGATTTCAGTTTATGGTTTCCCTTGGTCTTGTCCTTGGCCTTGCGTGTTGGGTGCAAGTGACAGCCGTTGCACCTGGGCTGGCCGCACTTTCCGGTGAACTTGGAGTGGTTGGTGGGCTTGGACGAGACCCGGGTGAACAACCCGGCAGTAGCGGGCGCATCGAACCGGTTCACATATCTGGTATTGGGCCTCGGGTTCAACGGGCTTGGTAGGATCGGCAAGGTTCGGACCATCCCATGCTGGCGACCCTCCCTCTTCATTTTGGCCAAACTTTTGTGAGCAAAAAGGAGATAATTGAAGTAGTGATTTTGAAGAGGGTGTGGATTGTGTTTATGCTTTATAAACGAAGTTTGGGAATAGAAAGCTTAGGAACCAAGGTGTTTTCCTTTGGGAATAGAAAACTTGGGAACCAAGGTGTTTGATTGATGATGTATACGTGTGGACCAAGCTAATAAACATTGACAGATCAATTAGATAGAGAAGAATATATATATATATATATATATATATTGGCCACTAAAAGTGGGCACTTCAGAAAGAATCTTCCTATTCAGAATTAAAGACTTAACTAATGTCTCGTGAGAGGAGATAAAGTTCTTCAATTACCCTTTGTTTTGGATGAGATCTACAATTACCAACTAAACAGTCATATAATCAATCAGTTTAACGTAATCTCGGTCAAATTGATTCTTTGAACAAAAAGTTGTGTGCTTTTGGAAAAAGATGAAAAGTAAAAATAAAATAAAATAAAAAAGGAATAAAGTCGTGTGTTCTTTTTGGCTATAGCAAAGCGTGTTTTACGATCCAACCTCGAGTACTAGAGAATGACTCTCTTCCATAACTCCGTTCTTGTTCCGTCACTATTTTTTCTCTCTTTTGTGGGAGTGGGACAAATAATTAAGGAGAATCTCATAGTAGTGTATTAAAAAGAAAAAAGAAAAAAAAAAAACACCTTACTAATATGCATATACATATACATAGACACATCCATCAAAGATTACACATAGTATCTTTTGCGGTGCCAATTGTCACCTGGATTTAATCTGCAACAACAAAAACTGGCATTGACCATTTTCATCAATTTGCTATTGGCTTGCTTGCGAGAATGGAAAACGTCAACTTTGTAGCTTGATTAGAACTAAGAAGTGGCACAATCACATTGAATTGCTTTAATTTAATAACAGGCCAGCTACTGCAAAAGTGCACCAATTTTCAGACCTTATACAACTATGAATGTTCCACAAGAAATGTTTTTCTTGTATACGATGTCTAAAGAGAGGGCAATTCTTAAGGAGTTGTACTAGTTTTTTGGCATTTAAAGAATATATGTAGCCGAGTATCATGTCCTGTGAAGCAGGTTAAGCCTCACACGTTTTCTGACTCCGTCTCCGTGCGATCTGAGGACTGCATAAGTGGCTCTATTGCCTTGACGGTTTTGGGAGGGATCAGTTCTCTCCGGCCAGGATATAGCAGGAAATGTTGACACATGAAAAGGAGGTCAAAGAAGATAGATATCTGCAGAAGTGCATATTTCGTAGAAGAAATTTTGGTCAGAACCTATTAGGTAATAGTTTCACCGACATCAAATGAATAGGAAAACATCATAATGGAAAAAGAATAGAATGATCATCGATAATGATGGATATTTTTGGAACAAAGGTAACCTCTTTTACTCACACTTCTTTATCTGTATGCAAATGATCTTTTTGCAAGGATTTCTCTTCAATTTGTAGCTAAAGAGAAGTGCTAGGGACATCAACTTTAATACCAACTTAAGTGGCAATGAGTGTCATTTTTCCACTATTAGATGTGACGTGACAATCTTTCAATCACATATTGATGATAACTCACATGTCAGGTTAGTTGATACAATAAAGTTGAGATTAGAGTTAGTGTCCTTATCCCTAGAACTTATGATGCAGAAGAATAGCATAAGAAAATGTGACATGATACTGAAATGTGGATAACATTCCATACCAAAGATAGCAGAGTCTTTCCTATATTTCCATAGAAGTTCACCCAAGAATCTGTAGAAAGCCAAAAATTTAGAATAGGTTAGCACTGAAGTATGTATGAGGAGGCAGGTGAAAAGTTCTATTTAGCTGAGGGGAGTTGACAAACTTTGATCTATAGACTGTACAGTCATCTGTGCATAGTTTGCAACTCCTCCCGAAAAGTCAAGTAAAATGTTGCCGATGCTGAATCCGTCGGTACTCTTCCTCCTGAAGTTCATGAAAGCCTACAACAAAAAATGATACGAAAGTTAGATAAGAAAATTAATCATCGTTCTCATTGACAAAGCAAGCAGTTGCACATTAAAAGTGATTAAAGAACCATAGTGGCAATTTCATAGCAATAATCGATTACCATCATCCACTTTTCTAACGAGTGCAGAATTTAAAGAACTCATTTTAACGCATTCTTGTAGCTAAGACCTAAGGGGTCATATTTCCACCTTTAACATGGCTAATCCTAAAGTTAAGTCATTCTCAAGGATCTCTATTCTCTATGATTAACGGTAAAGTCCATGAAAACCAGAGAATTCACATACAATTACATCTCATACAACAAAGAAAAACTCAAATGGGGAAACATCTTTGACCTGAGGAATATATTTGATGACTGTCATAAATACTTGGATTCCGCTGAAAGACAATGAATTAATACCAAGTCAGAAAGTAAAATTACCACAAGTTTGCGTATCAAGCAAAAAACAGAAGTATAGTGTTCAAAATGTTTCTTGAATGGACCTCAACTACTTTCAGATGGTGGCCAAAAAATACGAAAATAAGAATTCACAAGAGAAGAAAATAGTGGATGATTAAACCAAAGTCAAGCATCTTACTTGAATATTGAGATCAACCAAAGCCAAGAATGCTTTGGCAAAGCAATGAAAAAACAAACTCCAGCAGCTAACCACACAGCAGAAACAATTGCGAGACTAATCTTGGAGACTTTTTGTGCTCCACGCTGCATAAGGCCATCAACGAACAAAACGCCGGACTCAGAATTAGGAATGAGTATCTTCAACTCAAATACTAACTCAATGAAATGCTAAATTTCTGTAGTAATACTCAGATTTGGCATTTTGATAAGAAAATCATTCTCCACTACAATGCTATGGCCTATGTTTAATGTTAAAGTTGACATATGCCACACATGGTGTCTGATTTAACACCAAATATAGCATATGCCAGAATTTTGGCATTTGATTACTTGTTTAATTGATGAATGTGTTACCTTTTTTTACTTCATAATTACAACACTACCATCTTTCATTATTTGAAAACTAAAAACTTTGTCGTTTATAAATTTCAAGGGTATAGACTTTATTACATGATACACTAAAAATCCGAATATAAAAGACATGTCAAATACAGTACACTATTATTTTGTACACTTTCCTAATAAGCCAAATTCAGTATGTTTTCGTCGGAGATAAGCTAAATACATTAAGCATTAACAAAGTCAGTAACATCAGGTTCTGGAAGGCAAAAAGAGAGTATAATCTTTACCTCATAAATTGCAATCTGGAACAAGGTTATTGCTGTTAATATAACGGCGTGAGTTGAGAAAGCGACATCATTTGCTGCTACGGGTATCATCTGCAACAAATATTACACATAATAAATATTAAGACAAAAGAAAAGAAAAACAGAAAGATTATGTGAAGATGAAACGACAACAAATCCAAAATCAGAAATTTAAACAGAAATCACCTCTCCGGAGCCGTACTTGTCGCGATATTGTTTTTGAACAGCGGAGCTGAAGTAGAGAGTCGCGTTGTAAATGAGATACGACGAGTGCTTCGTCAAGTTCAGCACCACGAAATCAAAGTTCAACCCCACAACGCTTTACACACAAAAATTAAAGTAAAAACAAAATTAGACAATATTAAGGAAAGATGAATGAATAAAACCAAGAAATTAAATTTACCCAAAAAAAAAACAAAAAGACACAAAACAAAGAAATGAGTTTCTTACCTTTTTCTGCGGAAATTCAAGATGACTTGTGGGTAGAAACTGATAGACCAAGCAACGAAAGCAATCCAACCCAGAACTTCGTACGTGATCTCCAACGGAACCGAATTCCATGACGCCATTTTCTCTTTTTTTCTCTCTGCGTTTTCCCACTCGGTCGGAGACGGAAAATCAATCAAATTATAATCAATCTTCAATTATATATATGCATATATATATCTTTATCGGATTTCTCTTATGGACAGTCCCATAAGAAAAGTGCATAATTACTCCCAAAAATATATGTATATCTTTGAAAGTCGTAATGCATAACAGTCATAAGCCACAACGAAAGGCAGTTTTTGATCGTCCGATTAACGATCCTAAGCTGAATCGGGACCGTAGGTTCCTGGTTGGACCAATAATTACGGTTCTGGCGCGTGCCACGTTGGTCGACGGTTCTTTATTTTTGGAAAAAAAGTAACGTAAACAGTGGTTTATCGGTAAATTTGGTTTCGGTGTGCACTGTCTGTAACTTTTTAGGTGCAGTCTCTGTCAGAGTCTCCCAAATTACGAGAAGATTATTTTTCGGGAATGAATAAAGATGAGATTGGAACCACATACATTTTGTTCCTGCAGATTAAATCATCTTAAACAAAAAAAAAAAAAGAAAAAAAAAAAGAGCACTCTATCTTCATTTGCTGACTTCACTCCAACCTTTTTTTTCTCCCTTCCTTCTTTTTTTTTTTTTTTTCTTTTGAAAAATAACAAATCTTAAAATTACAACGTTATACAATGTGTGGTTGTGCTTTAAGCCCATATTATGAAATCTTTTCATCCATCATTTTCTCTAATTATTATAAATAATTAGACTATCATTATCTGCTTTTTATTTTTCACTATTAACGATATCTAACAAACACTCCATTATTTGAATCTTTCAATGCAGTCCATTAATGCTTCATTCCATTAACATCCATTCTGTGTATAAATTACACACTTTAATATAAAAATAAAACCAATAATACTAGATAAAACAAAACAACACATCAATATATTTTTATTAAGAATCACAACAACAATGTCATACATTTTTATTAAAAATCACAACAACAATGTCATTCATATTTATTATTCATTACAACAACAATGTCATACATAAACCATATCAATGGCGATTTCCCCGCCATTGGTCAAACATTTCCCTAGCTAAGTTATTTCTCCATGCAATCCAAACATTGGATGTTTCAATATGTGTGTAATGCTCTACTTCTTGTTCATCCTTCTCATCCTCTTCTTCTTATTCTTCTTCTTCTACTACCAATTGTCTTTCATAAGGATCAATAGTCATTTCTCTCCTAATTAAGTTATGAAGAAGACAACAAGCGGCAATAATCCAACATTGTATATTGATCGGATAGAATGATTTCCCTCTAAGAATTAACCATCGCCCCTTCAAAAGTCCAAATGTCCTCTCAATAACATTCTTAGCCGAGGAATGTTTCATGTTAAAAAACTCTTCAGGAGTCTCAGGAGGGTATGTCTATGTATTTAAATGGTAGAAGATCCATATCTGCTCATTGATGGGAAAAAAGAAATAAGCATACTGATTATAAAGAAAAAAAATCAGCCATGTATATAACGGATTCAACAAGAAATATATTCAACCAAAGACAATGGTCATCATTAACAGATTCAATAAAAAAAAAATAGATTCAACCAAAGGCAATGACATCATTAACGGATTCAACAAAAAAATAGAACTATTTGCTCTCTTTTTTTTCTTTTTCTTTTTTTTTTCTTTTCTTTTTTTCCTGCTCTAAATCAAAAGGTGCTCTGCGACACTGCGTTGCTTTCAAAAAGAATATCCATTAATGAAGATTTTGAAAGAAAGTCCATTATCCAAAAGGTGCTCTGAAAGAAATATCCATGCTCTGCGTTGAAAAAAAAAATCCAAAAGGTGATCTGGTAGAGAAATTTCTCTTTAAAAAAGACGTGCTTCTGTCCTAAACAAGACAAATTTCTCTTCTTCACCGAGATCTCTAATTTGGGGATAAAAAAAAAATCCCAGGCTGATGCGGATTCAACAAGAAGAAAAGAAGAAAATAACAAGAAAATAACATACCTGGTGGTGGCGGCACAGAAAAGTCTGACGATGACGTGGCTGAATGGAAGGCAGCAGCGGCGTGGTCGAGCGGTGCCAGACTAGATGAGAGAAAGGAGGCTAGCTGGGAAGAGATGGGTGACAATCTGTGAGAGATGTGAATGTGAGAGAGAGAGAGAGGTTATGACTTTTTTCCCGTGATATTTAACTTTATTGAGAAAGTGAATAACACCTTTTTTAGGTGGGTTTAAAATTATTTTAAAATATGATAATGTAAAATTTATGTGTTTTATTTGTTTAAGTTTTAAAAAAATCTAATAATTATATTAAATATGAGAATTTATAAAATTTTTATTTCTATTCTTAAGATTACTTCATACCAAACACTCCTTAAGATTCTATTTATTTTATTTATTCAAATTTAAAATTTAAATTTTATTATATTAAAAAATTATTATAAATAATTATATTTAATTTTTTTATTATAATAAAAAATTTTCACATAAAATTATATTTTAATTTAAATTAAAAATTTAAATTAATAAACTAAACGAACTTTAAAAATATTGCACTTAGATCCACAGCATGCAACGTGGGTATCCAAGGGACAAAAATAGTAGTTCAGCGAAAAAAAAAAAAAAAGACGAGTAGTAAATGTGGGATCTTTTTGTCCAAGTGCATGTAATTTTATTGTCAAATGTGATTACTTTTACTTCTCGGTCAAAGTCGATTCATGTGGGGATGAAGAACCTTTCATGAACTTGGAGAGAACTTTAAATTGATTATTTTCTTTTTAAGAAAAGCATTATTTTCTTTATTTTAGAGACTTGTCTGGCGCATTTTTACAAGTTAGGACCAAAGCACAACATTTTAAAATATCAACGACTGAAGCAAAAATTTACCCTATATTTTTCTTTCCCAAAATCTTTGCAAAGTGGCCATAACTTCAATCTACGAATAAATTAATTATGGGTTCTTTGATATGGCTAACTTCTTCTAATGTGGAACAAAAATTCGTACAAATTATAGCTTTTGTTTGAGTTTATCGCAATTCAGTTCATATATTAATAGTATTATGACAACTCTTTTTCCAAGACTACTTTATGAATTCATTATTTTTTGCAGTTTTGATCACCGACCTTATATTTGATGATGGATTTCTTAACAATATATTTACCTCTATTATATTCCCCCAAAAAAAAAAGACTACATTTAATCTTAGTTAAAGAAGAAAACTGTATATAGTCATATTTCAATGACTAATTTGTCTTTAATCTTTGTAAACAAACAATTAATTTTCTTTTGAAAAAAAAGACTAAACCCTAGGGTGTGTTTGGTTGGGAGGAATGGAAAAGAATGGAATGGAATTAATGTTATTCTTATGTTTGGTTGGTTTTAAGAAAAAGAATGGCCATTCAAAATAGACTAACTTTTCCATCAAATTGGTGAATCATCATTCCTTCCTCATATGAGAGGAATGCCCATTCCAAACTCTATTAATTTTCTTTTCCATCATTACCCTTGAATATTATAATTATTATATTAATATTTATAATATAAGTAATATTATATTATAATAATTTATATAATGTAATTATATCTTATAACATATAATATAATATATTATAATTATATACGTATATTATATCATATTTAATATTATAATAATATCTTATATTACGTATTATACATTGTAATTATATTTATTAATATAATATACAATATAATTGTGATATTGTAATTAATAATAATTATATTTATCATTATAAGATAATATAATATAATATACAATTGTGATGTTGTAATTAATAATACTTATTATAATTATATTTATCATTATAATATACTATAATATAATATAGTTGTGATATTGTAATTAATAATTATAATAATAATAATTAGGATAGTAGTATTTTTTAGAAAATTAAATATAATAATTATATATTTTATAAATAATATTATTATATTATATTATATTATACGATATAGATGTGATGTTTTCACTAATAATATGATTGTTATAATAAAAATTAAGATTTTATTATTTTAAATATATAATATTATAATTATAATTATAATTAGATATTATATATTATAATTAAGTATTTATTTTATTACAATATAAATTTATATTATAATAGATAATATACTATTAATTATATAATATAGTATGGTTGTAACATTATAATATAAAATAATCACAATATTATTATTTTATTACATTATATATCATTTTATATTATATATTATGATTGTATAATAATAATAAATAATTATATAATTATAATTATATATATTACATCCTTATAATTTTACATATATAATATTAGTTATTAAATGATTATATTAATATATATGATATTAGTTATATTAACATGATAGATAATTTTGTCAACATGAAAATATTCATATCCCATTCTATTACATTTATAAAAGTAGAACCAAACAAATGAATTATCTTTCCTTTCCATTCTATTCTATTACCATTCTTAAAATTATTCCTCCGCTGCAACCAAACGCACCCTAATATGCAAATAGTTTGGGAACTATTCCTCAAAAAAAAAAAAGTTTGGGAACTAACAATGCAATTTTTTTAAGACTTTAAAATAAAATAAACACTATAAGATTTTCCCTCATTATGTTTCTCGAACTTTTAATGTTGGGTTAAGTTTCAAATATAGGCCCAAATCTATATACAGAACAGAACGGGCTAGCCCAATACAATCCACAATCAAACAAGCTCATCTTCCTTAAGACCCCTCCCCCTCCTTTAAGAAAAAATTGTAGAATTTAAGTTGAGTGCCTGAATTTTTACTTTTAACTTTCGGGACGTTGTTGATTTATTATAATATTTTTTTTTATAAAAAATATACATAAATAAAAAATAATTATAATCACATCATTTTAATTTTAAATAAAACGTCTTCTTAATAAATATTTTTAAATATTTTTTATTAATATAATTATTTAATTAAAAAATTAAAAAATTAAAAATAATAAATAAAAATTTATATTTGTGAAGATTACCCTTCACTCAATCCCCTTGCAAAATCCTTACAGAGAAACTCCCGAGGAAAACCGGAGACATCCGATCAAATCCGCAGTCCGTTCAATGGCGAATTGTCTGACTAACAAAACCCTAACATTGATCAGAAACCCTAACCTTGTCAAATCCCTCTCCTCCTGGGCTCGGCGCTTCAACTCCGTCGCCGCCGCCGCCGAGCAACCGCAATCCGACGACCCTTCGTCGTCGTCCTTCACCTTCTCATCCGAGGGCCAAGATCACAAAACGGACAACAATGGAACCAATAATGACTCTATATACGTTAAAGCTCCGAGCTCGGATACGCGGCGAAAAGCGGGATCGGCGTCGGTGACGATGCCGACTTCGTTCATGATGGGGTCGATCGTCGGAAAGCGGTTTTACAAGAAGGTGACGGCGAGGAATGCGGACGACGGAAATGGATGGACTGTGATGCTTGATTATCGGACACTGAAGACGCCTTCCAAGAGGCCTCTCAAGCTTCCGACTTTGACTCTCGCTAAGGCCATTGCTGCTGAGTGGGAATATCAGGTATGGTGCTTTTCAATTTTTATGGTCTTTTGAGTTTCTGGAAACTTAGCTTCAATTTGTCTTCTTCCAGATCAAAATTTGTTCTTGCGATTAATAGTATACGAGCTTGGATCGAAGGATTTGTTCAAGATTGATCTGTTTATTCCTTCCAAATCCATTCCCCC